AATGCACACTATGATACATTTCATAAAACAAAGAAAATACATTGTGATACACGTGAAACATTGTGAACGTTATCACTATGATACACTTTGATTCATAAACGTCTTTAAAATACGATGTATACAAGGTATTTGATGTAATAGGTAACTAATTTTAATTAAATATTTCTTTCTAAAAAATTTAATTAAATATTTTGATTATTTGTCAAAAATAGAATTACTATATTACCTTTTTAGCTTATTTAAGAAATATCATTAAATATCTCAAACAAATGGTTCACATTGTATCTCACGGTTACCACAAACTAATCAGTTCTCTCTTGAATGAGCCCATATATATTGAAGGATTCAAACGAGAACATTTTCACTTTATGGAAACGTGAGAACATCCTTTTACCATAGTCAATCACATCTGTTGTTACTATAGTACATCACATATGATACACTAGTGATAATAAATCAACGACATGGACGACCTTCGACGTGACCTAGGTTTCGAGCCAAGTCGCCCACACACCACTAGGACCCCTCGTATGTATCATCACCTCTAATAAATGTGTTCTCAATATGATACTATAATCCATCACATATGATGCTAAATCCATTAGGCGAACGATCTTTGGGGCGACCTAGACCATAAGCCGAGTTGTTTGCACATACCAGGTCCCCTCACTTGTATTATCACATGTGATATATAGAAGGTGTTCTCGCGTTCTCGTAAAATAAAGATGTTCTCATTTGAACCTCTCAGTGTATCTTTATCTATCATACAAACCAATCTTAGCCGTCTGTCTAGCCTAATAAACATTGATTTCATTTTATGTCCTAATCTAAAACCACGATCATAATGAATGAACTTATCATCTTCCATATATATATCTGAATCATAATTAATGAATTATGATAATTTTTTGTAATTATCTCGATTATTTCCATATGTATTGCTCATGCTTCAGATGTGTTGTACCGCTTGCTTAATTATTAGGGATCATACGTTAATTGATAGATAGATAACAAAAGTTTCACTGTTTCTCGGGATGTGGATTTTTTCCGGTCGTGCAGGAAAACGGACGAATTTGTGTGTGTGTGTGTGTGTTTTTATGTACAAAGGGTTTGCATTAAAGAAGAAAGTCTTGTAATTTATGAAAGATAGTTAGCCAATGAAGACAAAGGTACTAAACAAAGCCCTCTTTTCTTCAACTCCATATTTGGGTTCAAGACCCTTCTCTTGTTTTCTTCTTCAGAGGTTCCAACCTTCTCCTACAAAAATACAAACAATTTGCTACATGAGAATTGACGAATCTCGATATCCGAATCAGAACGTCTGTTTGACATTTTGAACCATCGTGCTTGTAAAGAACGGAAAAAGGACACTCCACTTTATAAGATCAACCACTAGAGTTTCACATCTGCTAGACTCGTACACTTTATTTTGGGTATATGTTGGAACCCATTCTCATGGCTTAGTTGGAGAGTGATCTAACGAGGTTTCACATATTCTCATATGGTACAGAGCCAAAGTATGTCATCTCGGACATCTTTGTCAGTCTAGCCTCCGTTGTAGAAGCCTGTTAGAGTCCTACATCAGCTAAATTTGAACACTTTACCCTCAATACGTGTCGGAACCCTCTTTCTCTCATTTAAGGGACAAGTTTATGCAAACTTTGTATACGTATTCTTTTATCATTTTCACGACACGAACCCAAAAGAATTTGTGTTCACTAACTAACCTCGGAGATGCATAGAGTTTTTTTCGTTCTTGAGTTTGGTTTTAACTCGATTGAAATAAGCAGCATGCATTAACGATCTTCATAAACTATAGCACTATCGAGTAAAACCTAATCAAACGCTTAACATTTTCATTTTGTGAATCTTGTGTGAGAATATATGGAACCCAAGAGATTACCCGCAAAAAAAAAGCTCCAAAGGAGAGAATAGAGAGGTTCCAAACATATATTGAAAAGAAATGACAGTCGATGTGAGACTCCAACACGCACCCTCCAATAGAGGCTAGACAGATATAGATTATCCAGAGTGTTGAAAGGGAGCTAGATGGGTACAGATTGCCTCAAAGTGTCGAGTCCCTTGAATGGAGCTCTGGTACCGTGTTAGATATGTAGAACCCTATATTACTCTCCTAAGGATCTCTTGAAGAGAGAAGACACATTACAACATGAGGAGAAACGGTACAAGTCTAGCAGAGAGAGACACACGGGACTCTGACATCTGGGCGGATTCAATCGATCCGGAAAATAAACAAAAGACAATATAAATGAATGAAATCTAACCTTGGGACTGTTTACAGGAGAACTAGCAGTATCTTCTAAAGAATCATCATCATCAATCATTACTGATCTTTTGGTTTTCTTCTTGTTGATCAGCCTCAGTTTCTTAGCATCATGATGATGATGATGATCATCTTGAATGCATACCGCCTTCTTGACGATATTGGCCGAAGAAGCAGCATCAGACACTAGAAAATTTAGGGTTTCATCACAACTCATCATCACATCTTGATCATCACCATTCTTCTGCCATAGAAACTCTTCAAAGTAAGAGGTCCAGCTGCTTTCTTCAGGTGCTGCTGCAGATGATAGATGATGATGATGATGATGATGGCGATTTGCAGGTCTGTTCATGGGTGTTTCTTGAGAGTTGTTCATGCTGCAAGATGCAGAAGAATGTTTAGAAGTCCATAATTAGGGTTTGTTGGTCAGATTGGGAAAACCCTAATGGGGTTTATATAGATAGCCATGAATTTAAAAAAAAGTAAACTCAAGAACACCTGTTTGTGGAATCTTGAATCATGTGGGCATTAGAGAGATCTAGAGAGATCAAGAGGGGTGGACAGTTTTGACCTTTGTTGTTTGTGATTCTTGAAATTTGATTAAATAATTTATTTATCTATACTATATTATAAAGCATTTGGCTAAAACTCTTAAAAACTCTTAAACTCTTAAAACTCTTAAACCCGTTTATCCCTAAACAATTTCATCCCTATCCGATTTCATCCTATAACTGAATTCGTGTAACCAACTGCAGATAAACACAATCAAATACAGGATATACATCTCATTTTAAATATAAAAAATCTAAAATATAATTAGAATAATCATTGAGTTCTAACAAAATACTTAATTATTATTTTTATAAAATGTTATATTATTAAACCAAAAATAAATTATTTCATTATTAAACTTAAATTAAATTAAAAAAAATCTATACTATATTATAACGCATTTAACAAAAACTCTTAAAAACAACTTTTTATACGTAAAGTATTGTTTATTAATGCATATTACTTAAAACTCAAGATTACAAGTTGATTGTGCGTAAGTACAACTTATTAAAGCTCCATATCTGAATTTGTGTAACTAATTGTAGATAAATATAATCAAATACAAGATAAACATCTTATTTTAAATATAAAAAATCTAAAATATAATTAGGATAATCATTGAGTTCTAACAGAATACTTAATTATTAT